TTTGACTTTGACATTGACATTGACAAGATGTCAAATGTCAAAGATAATTACAAAATTACAAAAAGGTTTTAGTCAAAAATTCAAAAATATAGTCGTATAAATTAAGAAAATAATAATAATAGTTCTATATATTTTAATGTAGTCGCTGCAAAGAGACCGAGACTTAAGCGTGCAAAATGTATGAGCTTCTAAACTAACGTGTAATGTTTAATTAAATGTAAATTGGCCACCATTACTGTGAAACTTTGATCGCATTTAGCAACGGCGGGCTTCGTAGCTATTGATGATGATATTATAAAACGATGGTTACGACTCACGGATTGACATTTAGAAAATATATATATATATACTACGGTCTCTCGTGAGTAATGATAGAAAATCATTTGAAATAATGAGTATTTCTCATTATAAATTCGTAAAATAGATATAGAATGTAATAAAGTAACCCTTAGTAGTAACTATCATATTTAGAACTACTGTGTAATTAAAAAGAAAATTTCTTCACGGAACATAAAGAAAACTTGACTAAGTCGTTGAAAAGCTATTATAGCTATACATCTACTTGACGCGGGTATTTCACCAAGTTAAAATAAATATACATAATAAAAAGAAATATTAAAAAAATATTAAACCTATATAATTTTATAATTTTTGATTGCAAACCTGATTATTTGAGACATTTTAGTCATGGTAGTTTTTCATGTAGCAATTCTGTCTCTTAAAACTTATAGACAAGCGACATAGAAAGATTATAATGGTTTGAGCTAACGAACTAATTAAAACTTAAATTACTATTAAATTTAAAATAACCAAACTGTACTCGAGTTAGTTAACTTAAATGTATACAAAATTTGTCAAAATGACGACATAAACTGTATTTAAAAATCAATAAAGTAATAAATAGTCAGTCTATCTGTGCAATTTTAGTATCTCTACTAATATTATAAATTCGAAAGTAACTCTGTCTGTTACACTTTCACGCCTAAACCACTGAAATGATTTTAATGAAATTTGGTACAGACATAGAGTGGACCTTGAGAAAGAACATCGAATAGTTTTAATCCCAGACTTTGGTAAGGCTCTCTTGGAAACGCGATATAACCGAACTCCACGCGGGCGAAGCTGCAGGCGGAAAGCTAGTACATCCATATAAATAAGTAAACTAATTATTCATACTAAAATATACTATTACAAAATAATTTAAATATATAAATAGATTCATCGTTTATTTTTTTATTACAACATCCAACATTGATAATTACGGTCGTTTCAAAAACGAGCCAATGAAAGATCACAGAATAAAAAGACTTTGAATGCTTCTAAACCACGGCGTAACATAGCGGCGACAAGGAATATCATTTGTCAGTTTTAATTGCCACTTGCTGGCTGTCGAAAACGTCCGACTTGAAGCAATATATTATAGTTTATTGGAATATAAAAGATCTTTGGTGCATTGGAATTAAGACATTAGGATTGTGTTCGGATGTAAGCATAAATGTGTCGAGAGGCTTTGATGTTTGATGTGAGTTGTAAAATGAAGGAATTAGCTATCAAATGACGTCAAGCTATAATAAAAATAGATACTGCTATTTAATAGTTACACCAACATTTATGAAGTAATCGAATTTAATCGACAATTTCACTCAATGGACGTATAATAAAAACTTTCGCTTGAACCTAAAAAAAAACCTATAAAGATTTTAATATTTTATATAATAAATAATTGCTTCTTAATTATATTAAATATCTCAAAATTAAAATACGACATTAATGAGAACAGAAATAATAGACGTTTATAATACATTAAACTAAATATATTCGCGGTGGCGCGTAACGGGCGCAGTTGACAGACAATTAAAAATGACAGATGACGCCCTGCCTTGGAAATATCAAAGAGGCCGCGATTTTACACGGAATATATAAAAAAGTTAGGTCAAAGCGTTCTCAGTGTTGGATTTCACGTCAATCAGAATTAATTTGATAAAATATACCTAACACTATGACGACCTGACCTACATTGTTGGTAGTTAAAAACGGTGATTATGTAATTGTTGGTTAAAATACCGTAACTTCTTAAACTGGCAATATATACTTGTAATTAAAAATAAATAATACGAGTTACGTATGAGATTTTTATCTATTCAGCTATATGTATTTTATTGTGGTTATCTCTAACGCAGCTTCCAAATTAATGAACACCGTTGACTAATGGTTTGGTTCCTAATTATCTATGAAGGTTGGACCGATCCATATGTTTATAAATACATATCAAAACTACCCCCAAAATTTATCAACATACCATCAATGCAGTCATCAAGTCCTTAAAAACTCCGCGAGCAACCAAGAACAGTCCTTTCATCATCTCGATTTAATAAAACTAAATCTAACCAATCTTTGGTCAGAAATAAGGTTGCTCACTTCAAAAGAACTGAAGATTGTCATTATAGATCTGGTCTTAATTCACTGTATTATGATTCATTATCAGTGTTAGAGAGTAAGGTATAATCTAAATGTTACAATAATTTGGACTTCTTAAAAATATACATTATTGAAAGTGATATTTCCCATAGAAAGTGTCCGACCGTATTATTGACCTTAACGTTTAAAAAACTATTTTAAAGAATAGCAACTTCGACTAAGCTTTATATACTTTGAATAATTATATATTCATACATTATTAAACCAGAGTTATAGTTATCTATTTAAAGTAATGCTGAAACAGTTTATGATCTATCTATAGATAGTTCTATATAAAGATGCATCTATATCAAAAGAACTAGACAAATATAAAACAAGGTTCATTTAAGATATTCAAATACTTAAACGTTTTTTTTTAAATTACGTTCCCCTTAAAGGCCCAACAATAAAAACCTCGTGATTAGGGTTCCGTAACTCAAATATAAAAACGGTTCACGTATAGCATAAATTTGTCTGTCCGTCTGTCAGCTATTAAATAGTAAAACAAGTGTACGTTGAAAATAAAATATATAAATGAAAATAATTAAACTTTTTGGATTATTATGAACAATTAGCTCGTCTGTCCGTGATCACGATTGCTGTAAAGGAACCGAAACGCCAAAAAAACGCTTACTATCCGGAAATATTAGTTTCATCAAAATGAGTACACGAAAAATCTTAGATATTATCATAAAAAAGTACACTCAAATCTAGTCTCTTCAATAAATGAAAACTTAGTTGAAGCCCTAATAAAAAGATATACATAGTACTATTGATGAAAATTTATTAATTATTTATTTATTCAAATAGAATTATTCAATATGTTAACCAATACAGTTTCAAACAACATATATAAAAGTATATTTTATCGGGAACCCTCCTTGTAATACCGGTTTAAGCTTATCGGTAACTTTTTGTATTGCAGCGTTTTTCCTGGTTGACAATTTTTTGGGGTAAAAAAGTTTTCATTCGGAGTTTTTTTCTTATTTTTTTTATACAATAGTAATGTCATATTTCTATTTAGAGCGCTCGGGAATATTCATTTATATATGTATGTATATAATTAACTACAAAGTAAATCTTTTATTGTAATTAACAGATGCTGATTAAGTTTTTTTTAACTATCCTCAAGTATCTTTAATAATTATTATTAAGATAAAAATTAAATTAATAGTAAAAAAATATCTTTGTAATAAAAAGAATTCATTATTTGCCTCTTATTGGAATTCTAGTCCTATTATACATATATATTCTACCTTTAGATTTGGCCTATATAATTAAATCTACAATCTTTGTAGTATTATTTTTCTCATTTTAATGTAAATATTATGTTTAATAATAAAAAGCATTTTTAATCCAAAAGAATATTACAATTGTTACCATAAAAATCACAAAAACTAAACTTAAATAAAAGTCATTTTAACTGTCATTTTTAAACCATCGATTTTTGTATTCGTACAAACTATATTTTAACTATTATTTTAAATTACTTCCAACATCATGATTCAACACGTCATGACAAATAATATTAATGAGATTTCTAAAAGTTATTTTTATATCTGTTGACTTTTAGTCTAACACTCTATTAAAAATAGAGCAGAGTCGAGGTATAATTATGTATGTCAATGAAATATCTAACTTCCAAATAAAAGATTTGAATTGATCTAAATATATCTCATTTGATGTTGCATTATGATCGCAGTATTTCAAAATGTACGCGTCTGAAACGCTTAATATTCTTGAATCAATTACACGGTGAACTTAGTATGATTTTGATTAATAAACTGCAAACGTATAGTCAGTAGTATTTAATAAGACATGATCGTAAACTGTCAATGTCTTTCGAACTGACAGATACTTCAAATGTCAGATGAAACAAGATGTCGTAAAAGGAGGTTTTAATAAAACAAATAAATCAACTTTGAACTATTTATGATCAACATCGAGCTTAAAATTAAACCGGCTATATACAGCTATGAGCTTTTAATATACATAATGTTATATATCATAATATATTACATAGAAATTAATTTACAAAAGTATGTAGCTGATTCTACGATGACAATTCCAAAATTAGAACGAAAATCTAGAGACATTTTTATAATAAAAAAAATTACGATTTATACCTATAAATTATATATTAAAATTATGCTTAGAAGAGAGTATAAAAGAAATAAGTTCTTACAATATATCACATTCGATTCGTTATTAAATTAATATTAGAATTGCACTAAATATAATACTTAATTACAACAGGAGATATTTGGTAAAAGCATCACGTCGATACAGTCATATAAACATACGTTCTGATGTACCAAGATTAAAAATAACTATTGTCCCAGATTACTTTTATACAACTAATGAATGAAATATTCACAATTTGGCACAATCACTTATAATTAGTATTAGTCATTAACATAGCTTTTGTTCAAATGAAGCCCTAAAAACGTTTTGAGAAGACGCTGTAATGACTTTCACTGATTCGATAGTCCTTCATTGTCTTTTTCGACCCTGAGGTCAGTTGACCCCGGCCGTTGCCACAATCACGTGTGTGAATGACCCAAGGAGCCATGGCTGTGGTGATGATTCGCAGCTAGATGGTGGAAGTAAGGGGCGTAAGGTCCGGGCCCCGTGAAAGGGTATGGAACCCCATGGGAGTATAGAAGGCCCCCCGGGTATGCCCCCGATGGAAAGGCCCCCGCCGGCGGAGGGGGTACGGTCGGACTATTCACATCCATACCCGGATTCTGCTTTTTCCATTTCGTACGGCGATTTTGAAACCAGATTTTGACCTGCGCAGTCAAGTAGTTATTATTTATTATATATAAAGGAAAATCCATTATAAATAAACACAATCTTAAATACACAAAAATATATAAGTACTTGGGTTGAAAGTAATATATTTAAAACGAAATACAAACTATATATAAATGTAAGAGTCATTTCAAAATTACTATAATTATCACGAAATAATCTAATAATAATATTTATTAAACATTTATTTTACCTGAGTTTCCGTCAAACTGAGACTCAAAGCTAGATTCAATCTCTCACACACGGAGAGATATCTGGTAGTCTTAAATTTATTCTCCAAGGACACAAGCTGTTCGTACGTGAAAGCTGTTCTGGCTCGTCTGGGCTTGGTGCCTCCTTTCTGGTCTCTAGACGAACCGTTCTTTGATTTCTTTGAACTGGTAGGACTCTTTGGATCTCCGTTTTCGTCTAAATCTGATTGCGTTAATATCTCATCATCCATGTTTGAAGTCTGGTCATCTGTTTCCACATCATCAGCTTCGATATCCGAGTGTTGAAGGTGGTCTTTAACTGCAACAATAAAGAGGTTTTAATGACTAAAGATGACTGTCATTAAAATATTAAATCCGAAATATCGTTTGGATACAGTCATCATAAGTTATTAGCACATAAAATAATATATCTGCTACATTTAATAGCGATATACGTTAACTGTTTAATATAATAGACGCATCCGTTTCCTTGAGCGGTGTTGCAAGCACTAATATATTAATTTTTAACGTCTCAACATTGGCAGAGTGTATCAAACCTCCGGAAACATTAAAATATAATATACGACTGTTTTGTGCTTAACTAAATTAAAACATGCTCTCTAATGGCCGACAGGATGTATAAATAATAATGAAATCATCACGGCGTTTATCTGTTGACTTTAAAATCATATGAATTCTCAAAATGGCGTTAATATCAACATTTATTTGCTCCAAATCAAAAATCAAAGTGTCAAACTGTCATAATACGAGAAAACCAGTTGTAATGTAGCCAGTAGTAGACTCATGAGTTGGTATTAAAATAATTGCCAGCACTTAAATTAATTTTGGTTTATTAACAAATAAATCATTATGATATATCTGTTTACATAAAATGTTTATTTTGGAACAGGATATAAGAAAGGACAGCTTATGATGGATGTTGAAAACAAATTTTAACGAAATTGTAATTCAGTTAGTCATTTATTAATGAAATTAACTATTAAAAAGAATATTATTTACTTGCTCATATATATATTCATATATTTATTACTATTATTATTATTTCATAAATTATCAAAGAATATAATAAAAATATTTCTATTGCCAATACAACTTTTTTTTTATTATTGATTTATTTTTTTCTTAAAATATATAAAGTCTGAATCTTTAAAAGAAATCTTCGTTATTTATTAAAAGTATATAAATAATAAACGTCAAATGTTCGAATATAAAGTAAAAAAAAAACTATTATTGTATATTTTCACAAACAGTCAATAATTTTCGTGTTTATTATATAAAAATTCAAAACACACATCGAAAGCGCCGGCAATGATAAAGATATAAAAGGACGGAGTTATTGAATTATAAAACTTAATGCAAAATGAATAAGGTTAGAAATCGCTTAAAGTATCAGTTCATACAAATTAAGACTTGTAAATTATGAGCATATGTTCTGACGAGTGACGACAAATATATTTGGTTTTTGTCTCAACGAATAAGTCTATAAAGTCTGTTACAATATTTGAGGAGAGTTAAACTGTGTTTATATATGTATATATACATATATACAGGGTGACTGGTGAATTACTATCAATATTTACGAAGCATACTCGGTACATGATTCTCATTCGAATTATGTTAAAAAATATAGGTACTTAATTTTTGATCAAATTTCCGTATAAATAAATAAAGTGTGGACACGTTCCAAGTGTTCCAAGTGTGGACGCGCGCGGCGGCGTGCTGACACAACACCACGCCGCCGCGCGCGAGTGTGTGTGTGTGTGAGTATACCTAATCTGTAGGGTGTTCACACGATGCGTAATTAATTACATAACTTTTGGTTAACTTTACTTAGAAGTTTATTAATATTTATGTTATATTAATTTTTATTTTGTCATATATGATCGTCAAATATCACGTCCTCAAGTATCGCTTTGCTTATATATATATATATATATATATATATATATATATATATATATATATATATAAGCAAAACTTTCTTTACGTAAGGTAATTGTTAAGGTAAAACTCTAGATATTAATAAGAAAATTTAAACTTTATATGAAAGACCCTAAAAATGAGACTAGCTTCGCTTTCATCATCAGTCTATCGGTGACCACTACTGAGCCTTTTTCTCACATGGAGAAGGTTAGAGCATTAATCACCACACTTGCTCAGTGCGGATTGGTGACTTCAAACTTATGATTTTAAATTATAATGTTTTCCTTCACCGTATGTCAGTGATGTCTAAATACTATTAAACAGTACATATGACTCGGAAAAATCACATTTGTACTTGCCAGGATCGAACTCGCGTCTTAAGAGGTGGGCTTTAACTTCTAGGTCTTTAACTAGGCTTCAAGAAGTTACTTTTCTCACCTTAACCACCAGAATATATTGAGAAGTTTTAATACAAGAACAGGATAAATCACGTTGAAGTTAAAAATATCAAAGTTAATTACTATATGTAATATGACGTCCTTGGATATAAGTATATATAATTTAATAATAATAAATAAACCCTAAAATTTATTACTTATGTTTCTGAAAAGGTTTTGGCTAATTTATGATAAGACTAGTTTTTACCCGCGGCTTTCTTTTCTTTATATTAGACCCAGAAAGCAATGTATAAAGTATGTTAACACAATACATATGTAACGAAACAGCGACATATATAGTATAAATACTACAACTATTGTAAATTTGGTATTGATGAGTTATATACCTATATTTCGATGTCTTCTATGTATAAGAGCCAATGTGCAAAATGTCAATTGTTCAGTAGAGGCGTTTAAGTTGATTTCAATGTATCTTGTACATGCGACCTCTGTTGCTTAGATTACCCTATACTCTACTCATCGATATACATATAAATTATAAGCTATATATTGTTATAATAATAATCTACATTACTGTAAAATTTCATCAAAATCTCTCCAGTAAATTTAGCGTTAAATAACTAAACACCGTATATTATTAACGTTGGTTATTAAATGAGAAACGGGAATCACTTCGTATGTAGAGTAACGAAACCGTTGATAGGTATACTGTTCAAAAGAATTATACAATTAAAAGAAATTACAAGAACAATTATTTACCTACTAATATTATCAAATAAATCATCTATTATATATTTGATCAAAAACCGCTGGAATTATCAAAAAAATTGTTATTTAGATACAAAAGAGTTCATTTATTAATTATTATAAGCATTTTATAAATAACGTCTATTTAAAAGCAGTCTAGACGAAAAGATAATGATTTTTTTTCTATTGTAAGATAATTATCTTAAGGAATGATAAAGAATTTGTTTTATAATTATACCTAACTGATAAGCGTATTAATAATTATGTTAAGAAAGCTGTTACAATTAACACTATTATATTCTTAACATATATAAACTATAACTATCTGGATATAAAAGTTAAATGTAAGTAAATTTTATTAAAATAACTCATTCAAATGAAAGGCTTTTAATTTTCATATAGGTATATAAATAAGAAATCTTGTGTTTGCTAATAAAACGAATGATTTTATCATTTATTTCGAGAATTTTCTTCATACATATATTCATCTGGTAATTTAAACTTCAAACAGGCAAGTCAAGGTTTCAGACAGAAGTAAGATCAGAAGTAAGGATTCTATTTTCAGGGTTAAATCCACGGGATTTTATTCCTAAATCTAGAATACTATACACCCATATATACCAATATGAGTGACATAATCCAGTAACCATAGAAATTACATATATATAAAAAAAATTATATAAGACAAAACCTTAACGAATCTTCTTATTATATAGTAATTTATATGTACGTATTATTCTAATTATATTTAACAATAAATATATCAAAGTCTATCGGAAACTATTTTCCGTGTCCCGTGAGGAAAGCACTTGTAATCGAGAGGGCTTTATTAATTACAACCTACCAACTGAATCAAAACAAACAAATATAAACCTTATATATATTGAATAGAGATTAAATTCCCTTAACAGTGGATAGTCAACCCAAAATGCAGCCTTATCTTTAGGGCGTTTTACTCCTTTGATTATATACCAAGGGAATTTAGACTGAACTGCATGCTAATAGAGTTGTTTTTAGTTTATTATAATATATCATCAATTTGTTAAATGAAGAAAATTGAGAAGTGTAATTTGGAAGGATCCTTGGTTCAGTGATTTGGAGAATGGGGCCGTGTTCGCAGTTATGTTAAACGATATTGCAGTACTTTAGACTTAATTTATTTGATCTGTGATGGTTTTAACGGTGTGTGTGTGTGTGTGTGTGGGGAACTAAAGAACGTACCTATATATAAAGTGTTTATGTGTGTGTGATTCAATGTTTGAATATTAAAGAAGCCAACGTAATCCTTTAAATAATATAATGTTATGATATTTTCTGCTTCAGTTTTATAAAATTTCAGTTAGGATTATTTTCAGGCTACCTTACACAAGATTGCGAATATAATCTGTGTGAAAAAAATATATGAAAAAGTTAACCTGTCAAATGAAAAGGCGGGTTAAATTTGTAAACTTTTCTTTTTAACAAAATTTTGGATATATATTTAGAAATGTAGATCTTAAAAATGAAGCCAAGTCATAATATCAAAACCATTTGAAACAACATCAAAATATTATAATATTCCAATCGGAAAATAACATTAATAAAACGCTATCCAAGCTGACAACTTTGAGCAAAACAAATCTAAATTAAAGGGTGTATAACACAAAGCCCGCGGAGAACGCGTAAACGACGGCTTAATGTTGGCAACATTGCTTCTGACTTTTTAATTACAACCCCAAAATTACGTGAAAATTCCTCGCAAACCGTGAATGGCGATGGGCTTAAATAGGATATACCGTGGCGTTGTGAGTTAATTACTACATTAAACTTTATATTATTGAATAAAAACAGCCTAAAATATTATTAAAACCTTTAAATAATAAAGACATTTACATATTCTAAACTGCAAACAAAATTCGTTTTTTTTTTGACAGTCTCTACCTTGTCCATCATACAGCCAATCTGTTAAATAACCGAAAAATAAGCGAACAAAAAAACACCGTAAACGCGCAAAATTTATACACGCTTGACCCCCCGGACGCGTTATTCACCTTTTATTTTTATTTGAGTGAGCAAGAAACAAATCTTAGCGCAAAAGGGATAATAAAATAATCGTTAGATTCGTTTAGACGACTCTAATTTCACGGATTGGTGCGTAAAGGGACGGTTAAGGGTATACTCTGTCTCTTTCTAACATATAGCTTTAAATCTTCCATCTCTCTCACGCACGGACCAATGGGGTATAGACTAG